GGATGATTTGGCCGGTGGTAGGGGTGGGGGGCGGTTGACTAAACAAAAATGAAAACCAAACAAATGAAGAAACAAAACAACAGCAGAAGTCATAAAAGAAAACATTGGTAACTTTAACTACGTAAAGAAAGTACATGGAAATGACACACAAACCAAGGAAGAAGAGAAATGATCAACTGAGAAAAATTACTTTTAACTGTGTTAGATGTGAGTTCTAAATTTCTTTTCAAAGAATCAATATGTCAGTATGTTCAATTCTTTGCCTTCTACTTTTAAACTTAACTTCCTCGTAAGGCAACCTTTTCTGATTACCCACTCCACCCTGACTCATTCCTATTACCTGCTCCACCCTGACTGCATTCTGATTGCCTGCTCTGTCATAACCATTTTTCCCATGAAATCATTCACCCTGTCACTCTTTTTAAATTAGCCAAACAGAATTAGTTTAGCCTGTGAAGCCTAACCCTAGCCAACAGGAGAACAACACAGCAGCAGGAGCCACGTGCATCATGGATAAGCACCCCTTCCCCTCCCTTGTCCAGGTGTGTGCTCACCATTGCTCCATCTGTAAGGGCACACCCTTCTATAGAAGTAAATCGCCTTGCTGAGAATTAAGAAGAAAATTTTATATTCAAGTGCTATTTCTTTTGCTACACCGAAACTGTATTTATAACAACTGAATAGCACAAACAATATCTAACTTCCTTAATATATAAAGAGCTCCTACAAGTCAATAGAAAAACTCCAAGAACTCAACAAAGGATATGATTTAATTCTTCACAGAAAAAATGCAAATGCCTCTCAAACATGTAAAAATAAGAGAATATTCCATGCAGTAACAGCAAAATATACATTCTTTTAAAAGAATAAATTTATCAAGAGAATTTGTGAATGCAATGAATCCCAGTTTTATAATGCATGGAGCAGACGCTGATATAACTGAAAGGAGAATGGCATAACTCCACACTTGTAGCTAGAGACTGCAACTCTCCTCATTTAGTAACAAGGAAAAAGTTGACAAAACATAAAGATATAGAAGGCTTGGTCATTGTCTCAACCAATTAACTATCAACCACCTAACTTGGGCTGCACATTCTTTCTAAGAACACACAGGACATGTGGCAAGGGAGGTTGTATCTTGGACCATAAAAGAAGTTCCCCCAAATTTAAGAAAGTTGAAATCATATGAATTGTATTTTTGTCAAATAGAAATCAATAGCAAAAGATATAGGAAAAATCTGCAGATACTTGGTGATGAAGATGGCAATCGAAGAAAATGATGAGACAAGTCTCAATCATTTTAGGAAATTTATTTGCCAAAATTAAGGACGCACCCAGGAAACAGGTCTACGCCTTTTTCTGAAGATGATTTTAAGGGCTCCAAATGTAAAGGAGAAAGGGTGGGATATTGAGAAGCACACAGTTTTCATATAAGCGGAAGGGGAGGGGCAGAGGAAAAATGTGGGGAATCTGCATTTTACGTAACACAGACACAATGGGGCAGTGGCACAATCAGATATGCATTTGTGTCTGGCTGGCTGGGGTGACTGCACCTGCAAAGATAAGCTATCAACTTGCATCGCTATGGTGAAGTTCTGACAGCTCACCAGGAATTTCCTTGTGGGCAAAATAGGGGGAGGTGGGTAGCCTTTCATCTTGTAGCCATCTTCTTTAGCAACCAAAGTGAGGAGGCAGCTTTTTGTGACCCAGTTCTCAGCTTGACATTTCCCTTTGGCTAAATGAGTTTGGGTCCCCAGATTTAATTACCTTTCACAAAACAAACTATATTTAAGTAGCCAATGGATGAATTTCACAGGGAAAATCGGAAAATATTTTGAGTTGAGAAAAAAGGAAAACAAAATATGACTAGGTATGGTGGCTCCTGCCTGGAATCCCAGCGCTTTGGGAGGCTGAGGTAGGAGGATCACCTGAGTCCAGGGGTTTGAGACCAACTGGGCAACATAGCAGGACCCCATCTCTAGGAAAATAAATAAATTTTTAAAAATGTTATAAAAGAAAATATATTAAAATATATGGGATGATCTAAAGCAGTACTTTGGAGAAAATTTACAGCATTAAATATTTGTATTCAACAACATGAATATCCTCCACTCAGCAATCTGAGCCAGCATCTGAGTAACTAGAAAAAGAATGGTCTAAAACAAAGCAGGCAGGAGGAAATAAACACTCAATGTAATAGCTGAAATCAGTGAAATAGAAAACAGAAAAACAATAGAGAAATCAATGGAACTGAAAGTTAGTTTGATCTTCAAAAAGATTAACGAAGTGGATAAATCTCAAGCCAGACTAATCAGGCAAAAGCAGACAGCTGACACCAATGATTACTCTCAGGAATAAGGAAAGGGGACACCACTACAGACCCTATGGACATTATAAGGATAAAAAGAAAATACTTTGAATAACTTGATGAAAATAATTTTGAAAACTTGAACAACATGGATAAATTCCTGGAAATATGCAAAAGGCCAAGTTTATTAAAGAAGCAATGGATCACCAGAATTGACCTTACAGAAATGGAATTTGTAGATACAAATTTTCCTAACCACCCTCCCCCCATACCACCCTCCCCACAACAAGATCTCAAACCCCAGGTGGCTTCACGGGTAAATCCTACCATTTGAGAAAGCAACAATACCTTTCAAAAATTCTTCCCTAAATTGCAAACAGAGGGACATTCCCTAACTCATCTTAAGAGGCAAGCGTTACACTGATACCAACTAGTTACATACTATTTCCTACGTAACACATGCTTTGCTACTGAATTGAAATAATTCCCTTATCCACTATTACATTTCTACAATGACTGTGATGTCTTCTAGATACTATTTTGTTCCTCCTTTTTGTTTTGTTTATTCCAATCACAAGGAAAACTCTGTATCCCCCTTATCCTCTAGTGACTATAAACGGCAAGGGCTTGGCTACTCCTAAGCCCCAAGTTATGGCATTATCCTTTCCTGTCTCCCTAAGGACACACCTCCGTATGTGAGTCCTCCCTCAACTGTCTACCTCCTGTGTGCTCTCTGTTTCATACTGAGCTCTGACTGATAGAACACTAATATCATCACTAACATGGATGTCACTACTGGGTTGAAGCAAGGATTTCTTGGCAATGCCTTTTGCTCTAGAATATACTCCAAAAGAGATCAAAGTGTGAATAAACTGGGGTACCATCAGAGTGAATGAGATGCCAGGGTCTCTCTGCAGGCCCTGGCAGCAGGCAGCTAGGTAGTTGTCATGTAGGACAATTAACATCCTCTGAACAACACAGTGTGTGTGAGGTCCGACCAAAGATTTTGTAATGCGGATATGTGTTCCATCCCTGTTTACAGGCACTAACACCGGAAGTGATCAAGCCTCACACAGGATTGCTTCGCAGCCAGCCGAGAAAAACACATCCGTAGAAAAAACACCTACCTGTAGCAGTTGCTTTCCTCTGAAATTGTCGATTTTGGAGTTTACTTTCATTTGTTGGTTTGTTTTTCATTTTATGGCTTGCCACCTTGTATTTTTTAGTTTAATTTTATATTTTAAATATATAAAATGCCAACTGGTTCAAAAGTTAAAACTGCATGAAAGTTACACTTACAAAAGGTTGACTTTGATTCCTACCCTCTCCGTGCATTTTTATCCCCAGAGATGACCATACTCATTAATTTCCGTTCATTCCTCCTGTCTTTTTCTAAATAGGTATGGACAGTCTTAATTCCATTCTTTCTTACATGAAAGTCAGCACAGTCCGTGTACCTGCCTCTTCGCCTCATTTTTCTCACTTAATGGCATGTGCTGGAAATTTACTCTGTGTCCATTTGTAGAGAACTTAAAGGGAAGGGGTTTTAATGTTTTTAACAGACTCCAGCATCTGCGGAGAAATCATAGTATTCTTGATCCTTTAATTACACAATTATGTCCAGAGATGTCTTCTGAGGGTGAAGTTCATGTAGATGCCTCTGTGATTCTCTCACTGTGTGACTGGGTTCCAGGGGCCCCGATACTGTTCAGGGTGTTTGCATTGACACACAGGGTGGTGTGGTGATGGAGCCAGCAGGTGCAATGGTTGTGTGTGTGGGTATTAGACCCCCTGCCAGTCCATGTCCCACCCACCAGCTGGGCAATGAGACAGTTAAGGGCTTCTGCCCCATGGGCAGTCATGAGGATGAAATGGCTTATTTGGGTTTTTGTTTGTTTGTTTGTTTTGTTTTTTTGTGACGGAGTCTCGCTCTGTCACCCAGGCTGGAGTGCAATGGCACGATCTCAGCTCATTGCAACCTCTGCTTCCCAGGCTCAAGTAATTCTCCTGCCTCAGCCTCCAGAGTAGCTGGGATTACATATGGGTCATCTGCCACCACGCTCAGCTATTTTTTTTTTTTATTTTCAGTACAGACAGCATTTCACTATGTTGGCCAGCCTGGTCCCGAACCCTTGACCTCAGGTGATCTGCCTGCCTCGGCCTCCCAAAGGGCTGGGATTACAGGTGTGAGCCCCCGTGCCTGGGTTAAAATGGCCTGTTTGTTATACAGACAGTGCAGAAGTTCCTCAACTGCCACACAAGCGCTAGTTACTCCTGGTAGGGCCTGGTTTTGTGGAGTTTTGATGGAGATATTTTCCTAGCATTAGAAACAAGTGCGGAAGATTTGCACCCTCCTCATGCCTGGGACTGTTCACGTTGCCTGGTTTCATCTGTTCCCAAAAGGAGCAGGAGATCTCCGGCCCTTGCCTGGCTGCTGTCAATGCCGGGGGCCGGGCTGGGACACAGACCCTTGACCGCGTATGTCTGTCTGTCTTGAGAAGGGTCCTTACCTACTCTGTCTCTAGTTTTCTCTGATCTGTTTTGGATGCTTATATTTGCCTGAAAGCATCTCTTTTGCATTGTAAAAAATATATTCTAGAGTCAAATAGCATAATCCCTTATGATTCTCGTAATCAATTTTCTCTTAATTTGTGGTCATTGATAGTTGCTAGAATTTTTTTTTTCCCAGGCGTTTCTGACAGGTGAGCTAAATCGCACCACGCCCACCCCTTCCCCACCTTGGGGGCACAGGTGCATGAATTTGACAAGTTTCTCTGATTTTGTCATTTTTGCTTGTATCTTCCTTAATTCTATTTTCTTACTTTCCTGATTCTAACGCTTTTTTTTTTTCTTCTAACAAGAGCTCATTACAGATTCATTGATTTTAATTTTGTCTTGCTAATCCATTTCACTATTAAAGACTATGAGTTTTCCTCTGGGCTCATCGATTCTGATGGAAGTTGTATTTTTCTAGACATTTCATAAATTTTGTGAAAGTGGACCCTTTTATTTTGTAGATAAGAAAGTTGAGGTCTTTTCTCCACTAGAAGCTGCCCCCGGGTTTGTAGTAGCTCTGGCTCTGCCAGGTGGTGGCCTGGGCCCGTCTCCCACCCCGGACCCTCATCCCTGAATCCCACACCCAGTGGTGACTGTGCGTCCAGACAGAACATGCTGCATGGATTTATTAATAATCTCTGCCAGAGACTGCCCCCAGGGAGCAGCCCCCCGACGCCTGCGGTGCAGGCGTGCAGCAGGAAGGGGATGGGGACACGGATGACCACGCCATTGTCTTCTGAGGTGTGGACATTCTTTGAAAGGGCAGGAGGAATTCCCACTGCTCTGGAGGTGTGGAAGGGTGGGGGTCTGGTCTTCCTGGAGGCGGAGGCGAGCTGTTGGGTTACTTAAGTAGAGGGAGGAAGAGCAGGGTGTTGTGGGGGAGCCCTGGAAGGATGTGGGTGGGCTTGAGGACACCCCCTTAAGAATGCTGCACTGAAATCCCAGCACTTTGGGAGGCTGAGGGGGGCGGATCACGAGGTCAAGAGATTGAGACCATCCTGGCCAACATGGTGAAACCCCGTCTCTATTAACAATACAAAAATTAGCTGGGCGTGGTGGTACACGCCTGTGGTCCCAGCAACCCGGGGGGTTGAGGCAGGAGAATCGCTTGAACCCAGGAGGTGGAGGTTGCAGTGAGCTGAGACTGTGCCACTGCCCTCCAGCCTGGTGACAGAGCGAGACTCCATCTAAAAAAAGAAAGAATGTGGGACTGAGATCTACAGGTCCCCAGCTTCTCATGCCCTTCCACGTAACCATCCTCCCTCCTCCTCCTTCAGCTCCCATCGTTTCCAACCAACCCCAAAAGAAAGCATGAGGTCCAACTGTAGGGCACGAGCCCGTGACTTATACAACGGCTGCAACACACACGCTGGGCTGCTGGACGGGGAAGTCAGCAGCCTGGCTTTCCAGAATCGCAAGACCAGACCAAAGCTCATTCCTTCAAGGTCAGCCCTGAACTGGACACAGTGGGGTCTGTCCCAGGGGCCCAGAGAGGCAGCCGCAGATATGGGCGAGGTTGACACATTACCCAGGAGGCAGGACCAGGCAGGAGCTCACCTAGAAATGGCACGGCTCTGTGGGAGGAGAGCGGACAGTGGAGGCGTCAGCGAGAGAAGAGACAGCTGGGGACACAGCAGTCCCAGGGCTAGAGAGGGGAGTGAAAAGATGGTGGGAGGGGGTGGGACCCCACCTCAGCGTGGCTCTGCACCCCAGGAGGCTGGGAGAGAACTAGGGAAGGGCCAACAAGGAGTGACCTGAGTACTACAGAGCCAGCAGGGGGCTCGGGCTGAGAAAGAGGCAGCTTCTCCTCCAGCCGAGACTGGGCGTGTCCTGGGCGGAGCTCACCTTCCGTCTTTCTCAAGTCCAGCAAGTACCACAGACGCTTGTGCAGGGGCCTGAAAGCTCTGATGAATCCCTTCATGATCTCGTTGTCCTCCACCAGGACTCTGGCTGTGGAGGAGGCTGGGTCAGTCCTGGGTCGCTGGGGCTTCCATGAGAGCTGGGGAGCTCCAGGGGCCCTGCCCGAGGAGGGAGGGCAGAGAAGGAGGCCCCCGTGCTCCCAGGTCAGGCAGAGTTTGGTCTGGAGTAGGTCCCTAGGGCAGTCTCCGGGGCTCTGTCCACCTGGCCTCCAGGTTCCCTGTCCCCAGCTCCCACTCCTCAGCCTAGCCCCTTCTGCTCCGCTCTGGGCAGCGCTGGGGCCCGCACAGCTCAGGATGGTGTCTACAGCATCACGGGAGGAGAGCACAGTGCCTGCTTCCCCTAGTGCCCGGCTCTCACCAAGCACGGCTGAGGCCGATCAAGAAGACACCTGTGTGATCTCAGAGGCAACGGTGCGCTGGGAAACACAGGGGAGGGCTGTGCCTATGTGGCTATTTTGGTATTCCTGGCCTTCGTCTGGTCAAGAGCATCATAGGTTTCAGGGTGTTTTGACTGGACGTCCAGTGAGTATTAATCTTTCCACCAAGCCCAGCCCCTTGACTGGCGACTGTCCCACTGGCCCCATATCAGCTCCTTGCTTTGTCAGAGGACTCGATGAAGCACTGGAGAAAAACAGCCTGGCCGGGCCTGGTGGCTCATGCCTGTAATCCAATCCCAGCACTTTCGGAGGCCGAGGCGGGTGGATCACTTGAGGTCAGGAGTTTGAGACCAGCCTGGCCAACGTGGTGAAACCCCGTTTCTACTAAAAATACAAAAATTAGCCAGGTATGGTGGCGGGCGCCTGTGGTCCCAGCTACTCGGGAGGCTGAGGCAGGGGAATCACTTGAATCTAGGAAGCAAACGTCGCAGTGAGCCAAGATCGCACCACTGCACTCCAGCCTGAGTGACAGAAGGCAACCCTGTCTCAAAAAAACAAAGTGAACAAACAAACAAATAAAAAAATGAAGAAAAAATCAGCCCACAGGCACCGAGGTGGACAGGAAGCCAGTTGTCAGCTCCCCAGGGTTCCCAGACATGGACGTAGCTGCTACCTCTCACCCACACTGAGCTCCCATGCTGTGAGACCCACCCAGGTACTGGCACATCAAGCTCTGGATGCGGGTGGTGGTATCCGTTAGGCAGAGAAACAGGAAATTGTCGTAGTCAGTATCAAGCAGCATAGCCTCATTCGCTCCCATATCTGGGGAAAGAAGAGAAGAACCAAAAGGAAGATGAAGCCTCCATCTCAGCAGAGTCTTGGGCAGATGTGTGGACGTCCCACCACACTAAGTGGCTTCCTCGTCCACTGACACCGTGGGATGTGGCTCTTGGGGTGGGCCATGGCTAGGGAATCCAGGGAGAAAAGGAGAGAAGAGGCAACATGGAGGACCACGGAGCGCTGGCTGAAGGGGAGAGGCAGACACCGGAGGCAGGCAGGCTCTGACCTGGAGAGATTCCAGCTGAGAAGTCACATACGGGTGAGGACAGCGGGAGGCGGCACGGGAACAGGGCAGAGGGGTGGGAAGAGGGAGAAGAAATGGACCTTGGAGAGTGGCTCGATTCTGGGGAGGGCAAGCAGGGTCAGAAGGGCCTGAGGCAAGTCCCAAGCATAAGAAGCAAACTGTATTTGCTGGGAAAATGTGCCCACGAGGGGATAAGAGAGCCCAGACCCTGACCACTTCTGTATTTAAAAAAAAATAATAATTAACAAAACAGAACAAAATGTCACAAATTGTTGGGGAGAATTCAGTGGAGCCAGGACGTGCTGTAGCCCCTCTTCCCGCAACCAGGCTGGGAGCGCGGCCCAGGCCAGAGCTGCAGCCCCACCATCAGCAGAAGGCAGCCAGGCCCATGGGAACAGCAGTCCACCTGGCCACCTGCCCACCTCGCCACCTGCCCACGTGTTCACCTGCCCACCTGCCCACCTGTTCACTTGTTCACCTGTTCACCTGGCCACCTGCCCACCTGGCCACCTGCCCACCTGTTCACCTACCCACCTGCCCACCTGTTCACCTGGCCACCTGTTCACCTACCCACCTGCCCACCTGTTCACCTAACCACCTGCCCACCTGCCCACCTGTTCACCTACCCACCTACCCACCTGCCAACACCAGGCACATCTGGAGGACCACGAACACAAAAACAAAAAACTGAAGGGAGACGCAACGACAACCCGGAAAGGCAGGCAGACACACCATATAAATCAACAAAAGAAATCACATAACGGAAACAAAACGGAAAACGCACGGGAACAGGCGCAGAGGAAGAGCGAGAAGACAATGGACCTTGGAGAGGGCATCGATTCCTGGGACAGGAGAAGAAAACAAGAACAAAAACAAGAAGCCTGACGCAAGTCCCAAGCCGATAAGAAGCAACCTGTATTGCCACAGAGAAAAAGTGCCCACGAGGGGAAAGAGACACACACAACACACAATTCTGCGTATTTAAACAAGAAATAATCAATATCAAAATACGAACAGAAAGTCTGGGCACAAGACATTCAACAGTGGAGCCAGACAACAACAGAACACAGCACACCACAATATATACACCGAAGCCAACCCCAGGCTGGAGACAAAATTAAACGACAAACCACAACAAACCAAGAGCTGCAGCCCCAACAACACACCACACAGAAACGCGCAGCCAGCCAAACACACACATGGGAACAGCGTCCACCTGGCCCACAAACTGCAAAAACAACACACACACTCCGCCACCTGCCCCACAACAACCACACAGGGCCACACCACACAAATACCCACCCTGTTCACAATTGTTCCAAAAAAACAACACACCCACATACCCACCTGGCCACAACAACACACAACACACTGTCAACATATACCAAAAAAAACTGCCACAATAATACACAACACCCACACTACCACCTGACCCATGCCCACCTGGGTTCCAAACAAAACCAATAAACACACAACTAACCCACACTGCCGCCTGCCACCTGATCCACCTTCCCCACCCTGCACCACACACACACACACGACCGCCTTAACAACACAACAAAAAAACAACGAAACAAAACTGCCACACAACAAACAATCACAACTGCCTGCTACCCATAAAAAACATGCCCACCAACACATATGCATAAACCTTTTTTTCACTGCCCAACCACACACACCACCACATACACCCTGCCTGAACACACAACTGTCACCTTCTCACCTGCCCACCTCTCCACTTCCCAAACACACACATACACACAACTGCAAGCTGCGCTGCCCACTTTCATCAATTAAGCCTGGCACTACACCACACAAACAAATGCCACACAACAACAACATATGAACACACCTGCCCGCCCTACCCACCTGCCCACCTGCCTACCTGCCCACTTCA